ATGAGAACGACTGCACTGTAGCTTTTTACCTTGGTGCTAACATACAGCCAAGCTGCCCTAGAGTTGGAGTCTTTGCTTGAGTTCTGAGCTGGGCTGTCTTTACGGCACTCAACATGTCCATAGGTGACCAGATTTTTTCTAGAACACATGCATCTCCATCTGATGGTTAAAGTGCCAGTTCTAAGCCGGTTAACAAAACTTATTTGTATGTCCGGTGTGCCTTGAATGTGCTGATTTTCTTTCCTATTCTCTCATCCTTAGGTGTGATGTGGACACACTGCTCCCAAAGCACTTCTATCGTCTTATATCTCTAAGAGCATTAACAGTGTCGGCATGATTCATAGGCCGGTCATCTGGAGTAAGGCAGAACCAACCAATCAATGAGCTCTTTCATTGCCAGCAATACTCGCAAAACCTGGGGAAAAGATGAAGGTAACTCTGTGCGCGGTGGAGTTTTGCAGTGACTCAGTCCACTGTCTGCAAATGGAGCCTGTCTCGTCCTGCTGACTCATGCTCTAAGAATCACTCAGCACACACACACACACACACACACATGCGCGCGTGCACACACACACACACACACACACACAAACACACACACACATGTGAATAGTCCTGTGATTCCGGTCACATGAAAGCTATGATCTTCAACAGAATGTATCAGTTTGTATGCTGACATCCCTCTGTGCCAGGACAAAAGGCTGTCAAAAAATCTTTTCACACTGTCTTCCTTTGTCTATTTTTCCACAGATCTTTCTGGTGGTCACAACATGTACCAGATTCCGTCTTCTCATAACATGAACAAAAATTGATGACTGTCTTTTTCTAGCATTTGTGACAAATTGTCTTTGAGTACTTGCTTCTTTCAAAACATCTGGGTTTTTCTTTCTGGCTTTAGAAAGAATCATTTGGATTCTTCTGTAAATAAAAAAATGAGGCCTCAAAAAATTGTTTGATTTCACAGGATAGAATGGAACATAGAAAGATGCTACGAGTTGAATGTGACTCATAAAAGCACAACATGAAAAAGATATTGACAATACATATTTTAATTATTTTAAGATTCAGAGTAAACCTTGACACTTGATGTTTTAGGAAGCTGTTGTAGTACAGTGGCTAGTATACATGCCTACCAGACAAATGGTATTGTGTTCAAATCCACACTGAAGCAAGGATATATTTTAACTAGCCTTGTGCAGGTCACTCCACACAAAAACTTTCCGACAGTCTGAGGTGGGTCTGTTGTGCCTCAAATCATGTATAAATGAAGCATTTGTTTATATATTTCATTTTATTTCAAATATTCTATTATACAGGGTTATTCAAAATAATGAACACTTTCATTCATGTATCTTTACTTGAATAAACATTGAATATAAATAATATACATACAAGGAGGAGGGAAAGGGGTGAAGACCGAAGAGCTGGCTCTTTTGTCATGGTTTCTAAGATCTCCTGACCTCACATTATGTTAGCTTTTCCTATGGGGATGAATGTTGAATTAGGAATTATAGTACTCAAGACACTCCCATAATCGCTCCATCGCTATCTTCAGCAGCAAGTGAAAAGTTCCTGTTCCGATGGCATCAGTAACTGTCTGATTGGGTATCTGTCTCCCCTGAGTGTCAAGCATCTGCCATATCCTCTGGTTAACTTCTCGCAGCTCCATTCTCCTCAGACCATAATGATCTGTCTGTACCTCTGCTTTGTTTCCCTCACTCCCACAGAGCCCTCACAATATCTAGCTTGCCCTACATCAATTCGCTACCAAGTGGTGCCAGTCTATCTGTCTGCTCATTTCCCAACACACTGGTATGACCTGGAGAAAATATTTAAAGGGTGCTAACTACCTGGGACCTCTGAATTGATGCTTGCCTCTCTGCATGGAGCATGTTGGGGGTATGTCAAAGAAGCCGTGTACGTACCATCTCTACCAAAAACTCTGGCCAACCTGCTGAACCGTATCACAGCTGCAGTGAACTAAGTTACACAAGAGATGCTACTTCCTGTGTGAAATGAGTTTCGCTACTGCTAAAATTTTTGCTGAGCAGCAGATGACAGCCATATTAAGCATCTATAACCTCTACTGTAAGTTTGTAAACTTTAGACCTTCCTCCCTTCCTTGTATATATTTTAATAATATGTAATGTATATTCAAGGATATATAAATGAATGAAAGTGTATCCTGTATTCATTTGTCATTGAGCACATACTTATTATTATTATTGTGTACTTAAACAAGGCTGAAACCTCTTAAGGCCCCCCCTCCACCCCATCCCACAGAAAATCATAAAGCCTTCCCCATAAGCTTTCTTTGTGATGGCACCCCTGTCATCTACCAAATACAACTCAAGGTGCAGATAAGAATCACTGACTTTAATTAATGAAAGATATATAATCTGCCTACAAAAATAGCAAAAACACTTTAAATGTGCTGTAATAAAATAATGAATTATGTTTCTGAATTATGCAACGTGCATTAATCATGTGTATCCCTTATAATTTATAGCTGTACATTTTGTGCCTTACCTGATGGTTTGTGTCATATTTTTGAGTTATGGGAAAATATGAATCTATTATATATAACCTTAACTCTTTGAGTCCCAGGGAGTTTAGCATCACAGGCCCAATGTGTAGTAAAGAAAGACTAAAGTTAACACATCATGCGTTCATTGGGCTTCAAGGTAAGAAACTAGGAATGTATGATGCATTCCCTTGGACTAAAAGAGTTAATATGACTAAAGTACATTCAAATGAAATTCTTTCGTCTTCTTTATGTCATTATTTTTTGTGGCTGGGTGCAGTAATCCTTTCTGTGCTGAGTTGAAAATCCACATCACAGCACTCCAGACATTCACAAGGTGCTACATCCCCTTCTTAGGCAGACAGAGCAGAGTTCCAATAACAACTTTTCTTTCCTTTCCTCTGAGTGTTGAGCGTCAACCAGGCCCTCTGGTTACTCCCCTCTGCACTGATCTCTCCTGGATCCCTTATGTGTGAGATAAACAATAACTGCCTCCATCATATTTCCTCATCGTCTTTATTTAGTGGATTCAATCCATCTTGATTTTCTAATTTAAGTTGTATTTTGATAAACAATGTAAACCGGTTTTCAGATTCAGATGTTGCTTGTGGTGAAGGACATCTGTCTACATGTTTTGTTCCTTGGAAGTAGAGGCGGCCGGCGTGATGCTGACCACATCACCCATCTTGTGCCGTTGGTCTATAAAAATATAGGTCTAGCTCTATATGCCCTATATGCCTAAAGGCGTGGAAAAGGGCCCTTTACTTTACTTTTTACATGTTTTGTTCATGGTGTTGCTTATAGGTAAAGACATTTTTGTCTGACTACATGTTTTGTTCATGGTGTTGCTTATAGGTAAAGACATTTTTGTCTGACTACATGTTTTGTTCATGGTGTTGCTTATAGGTAAAGACATTTTTGTCTGACTACATGTTTTGTTCATGGTGTTGCTTGTGGGAAAAGTCATTTTTGTCTGTCTACATGTTTTGTTCATGGTGTTGCTTGTGGGAAAAGTCATTTTTTTCTGTCTACATGTTTATTTCATGATGTTGCTGATGGGTGGGGTCATTTTTGTATGTCTACTTGTTTTGTTCATGATGTTGCTTGTGGGGAAAGTCATTTGTTTCTGTCTATATGTTTTTTTCATGATTATGCTTGTGGGGTGGGGTCATTTTTGTCTGTCTACATGTTTTGTTCATGGTGTTGCTTGTGGGTGGGGTCATTTTTGTCTGTCTACATGTTTTGTACTTGGTGTTGTTTATGAGGAAAACGTTATTTTTACATGTCTACATGTTTTGTTCATAGTATTGCTTGCATTACATATTTCTTAGCTTTTGTCTGTCTTCTGTAAATAAATGTTTACACAAGGAACAATAACTAACAGCAATCATCATCACTGTCACCACTAGCAGGATCATCATGAGAAGCAACTCCTGTGTGGAAGGATCATCTGTAATGAGACCTGAACACCCTCCAACTTGCATAACCACAGCACCACTCTGAAATGTACATCTGGTTTTACTGAACATGTGTTTCTCTTACAAATTTCCCTCTTCTCCTTTTTATTTAAAAGCATCATTTAGCAAGGAGTCTTGTCTCTTAAACTGACTGAAGATGTCTGAAACTCTAACTGATCTCAATTTGCACTGTTTTACAGTCTTCTTCTTCTTTTGCCTTTTTAATCCCCAGTAGAGCAGGGGGAGGGGGTAGGGAGGCACTATGGTCTAGCGGCTACACGCTCACCTGTGGATCAGAAGGTCGTAGGTTCAGGTCCTGGAGGGGCCAGGCTTTTTTCATAAATGACCTTACCTCTCAGGTCGACCCAGATGCTGACCACATCACCCACCAAGTGCTGTTTGGTCTATAAAATATAGGTCTAGCCCTATACACCCAATACACCTGGAGACAAGGAAAAGGGTCCTTTACTTTAACTTTATTTCTATGCCCCTGTGGGTTTCAGTGCAAAGTCGTATTAGTTATATTTGTTCTCAGGTTTTCTTAACGTATGTCCTATCCAACTCCAGCATCTTTTCATCACCTCTTGGTCCACTGGAACTTGTTTAGCTCCCTCCTAAAGCTCTACATTAGACATTCTATCATACCATTTAAGTTTTTTCCTCAGTATTATGTAACAAATATTATGTTTTCTTTTCCTGTCACAATATTCTTCCTTACCATATACTCATACACTGAAAATGATCATTTTGACTTCACATTGTTTTTATAATTCTCAACATTTTCTTTACATTATAGTAATGAAGAATACATTTCTCTACCTCACAGTTTCTACAGACATTAAAAAAAAATGTACAAGGACCACATTGTTTTCTATATTCTGTAAAACTGGCAGATTTTATGAGCGGCATGGCTGAAACCATGACAGGAATGTGAGACCCTCTCAAAAACAAAACTGAAATATAAAAATCTGGCATTAACTGAAATGTTAAAAAGTCTGCTTTGCAGACATGATTTTAAATCACACATCTTGTATAAGGCCTTGAAATTCTTTCATGCTTGTCTCTTTCTGATAACAGTGAGGTTCACCAGAGTCTACCCCAAAGGTATCAAATGAAAGACTTGTATCTTTATGTTCGTCACCATTTTGTTGAGCTCTGTTCTTCTTTCGCTTCACCACAAGAGCATCACTGACAGCCATACTGGGGCAGTGGTTGAAGAAGTTGTAGGGCCGCAGAAACACTCGGCATTGATTTCCTGTGGCGCTGATGCTGGGCACATCTTCAGCATGAGGCATATGGTAGAGGCCAGAGGTCACCCAGGCAACCAGGTCTGTGTCCACAATGGTGTCATTGTCTTCCAGGTAGCGACTGAAGTCGAGCACTGGATCGTATGGGTCTCCCTGTGCATATATTGATGAGCTACTGTCTTCTGTGTCTTTGTACTTTGTTACCGCCAGCTGGTAAAATGAAAGAGAGAAAAGGGAAATACAAGTTAGTTGCGTATCCTTTACAGGACGTTGCAGAACCAACCCTAACAGCCCCTGGCTGTTGTGTGGTATCCCGTAGTTTGCCATTGCTTCTGGACGGTCGGCTTTCTTGATACCACTGTTGAAACCAACGCAAGGCGCATTGCCCGCAGCTGGGATCGAACCTGGCATCCCGGCATTACGAAGCGAAGCGTTCGCATCGACTTAGCCACAGAGCCGACAAAGAGAAATACACTGTGTCAAAATCTTTGGCAAACACATGACCATTAATTGATTGCCAAACATATGACATTTAATGCACATTACCGAATCACACTGGTCTTAAAGTGAGATTTATAGTTGCAAATCTAGTTTCTATATCATGGACATATGGTGCTTATCATTATCAGGAAAACAAAAAAGGGGATTTTTTTTTTTTTAATTTGTCCTTTAAGGACTGCAACCTCAAGCTCTGGCTCCCAGCAATGGAAAGAACCACATATCAGTTGCCATCCACTAGGAACAAATCCTAGAGGCCTGGTTTAACAGCATAAAACAGTTACACTGGGGCACCATCCCATTATACAAAGCAACCTGTGTTATTAAAAAAAAAATTCTGAAAACTAACAGCAAACATGTTGTGTTCCATGAGAAACTTTTAGAAATATTTCTCTAAAAATGTTTTTTTTTAGGTCTTTCATAGAGAATGTAAACTACTAGAGAAGGCATTTTATTACAAATAAAATCAAATGACCAACTTTGGTATGGCATAAAGCTCAGAACAGGAATGAAATGACAGTCAAACTGTATAATATTCTAATATGTAATGTGAAAAGTACTCTTCACTTCTAGAGGTCCATTAAGTTGTGTAGGGGTAGTGGGTCAACATCTATCTGCAGGTCCTTTACAGCACACCCCTCTCTTCATGGTGAGCCTGAAAGTCCTCCTTTCTCTAGCCCATTCTCCAGCCCCATGTGCTTTCATAGCCAATGCATCTTTACTGTCTTGTATCCACATTTGCAGAGGTCAGCCTCTGCCTCTGTTTCACAAAACTGAACACTCAATCACCATTGTCTCCAGGTCACCACGACGCTCAACGTGGCCAAACTACGTCAGGTTTAAGGAAAAGATGCTGTTTATGAGCCAATTATCCTCGATGTTCAGATCATGTACGATGTCAGTGTTTTTCATTCTTCTATCTTCACAGTATTCTAAGAGTTTTTCTGTAGCATTGCAGTTCCGAAGCTCAGATGTGTCCATTCAAATATTGAGAAATAATCCGCGACTCACATCCATACGTAGCCACGGGAAGATGCATGATCTCAGTATGTTTACTTTGACTCGCAAGCTCGTTGCTATGGCGTAAGTTCTTCATGCTGTTTAGCCTCTGCATTTTCTAAAGCAAGTCTTGTTATGACTTTTTTTTATAGTCGCCGTTGTTGTTCACTTGGTTAGTTGCGTATCCTTTACAGGGCGTTGCAGAACCAACCCCAGCAGCCCCTGGCTGTTGTGTGGTTTCGATAGGCAAATTTACGTCCAGTAGTTTGCCATTGCTCCCTGGAAGGTAGGCACCCTGATACCACTGTCGAAACCAGGCAAGGCGCATGACCCGCAGCTGGGATCGAACCTGACACCCCGTCATTATGAAGCGTTCGCATCGACTTAGCCACAGAGCCGACTGTTGTTCACTGCTGCGTCTCTATATTCAAAATCTGACATTTTCATTCTCTCTTCGTTATCGGTTTTAATACGTGGTTGGTGTGCTATATTCATTTATGACATTTGTTCTTCAAATTTACAAAAAGAATTTTTTTTTTTAAACTGTACTTTTTGGCGGTCAGAATACATTTTCAAGCACAGTACACGGTTGACTGAGGGTGCCATTATTGGCAAAATGCTTGAACAGCTGTATAGGCACCTCTCCACGGGTGATCCTCATCCACGTGTTGGCACTTTGTGTCATCTGGTATTTATCGCTTGTGTGATGTCCTGGTGGGGTAAAAGGAGATAGATATAGGGGACAGAAAGCAAAGGAGGCAAATTACAGAAGATGCTGGGCAGTATAACAACATGGCATGGAAGATAATGCTGAAATGAAAGAAAGTGCTGAAGCGAAGGATGTAGTTATACATGACCACCATGATGATTGGCACCTTTCTATCTTTTCAGACGATAGTGTTATGCTGCGTTATGAGGAGGCATGAGACTCACAGCCCATGGCGATTGCGAGTGTGACTAGCAAGACCCGTCCGCGTTAAGAAAAGTCTTCCACAATTATAGCATAGGATTCCACGATCATTGTTGTCAACATTTTGTGTTTAATATGTTTCTTCTCAAATGCTCAGCTCTCATCCTTTCTGCAAACATCTTTCTCTTCATTCTCATTCTCTTCCTGATGTGCTCCCTTCACACAACACGGCCCATGGCATTTTGTTCACATGATACCAACTCAGTAGTAACTGTTTTTCATTCATGTCCCTTTGGCACACATCTTTATATCGTAGTAGAGGTCGGCCTCGACATATTTTACCTGTCTTTACTTCAATATAAGAGATGTCGTGAGGAACTTATAAATTCTCTATTCGCCAGGTGTGACCCAGCCACCTAAGCCTTCGTAGACTGAGCATTGAGAAGACTGTTGTAATACCTGCTCTTTCCAATACCTCAGAGTTTGTGATCTTGTCCTGCCACTTGATGCCACGTATTTTTCTTAGGCATCGCAAACATGACTGCCAATGCCACACGAAATGGAGTATTTTTAATTTTTTTAATTTTAAAAAGATTATAAACAGTATTTAAATTATTTCGTTGTGCCTTTAACATTTGTTATAAGTAAATCTCTTTTACGCAGGTCGTAGGTTGCCCTGCCTGATCTACAGCTTGTATGGTTCATATCTGTCTAACGTGAAAAATTATGGAGACGCCAGGGGCAAAATGAAAGCGAAATGGAGATGACTTGACAAATTAACATACAAAGAGAATCGGTTACCACTATCAGGGGGAGGCAATCCACATTATTTGACTGCTAGATTAAACAGGACAATGGAGGTACATTGTTACAAAGAGAAGTTGCAGGGGAAGAGAATTAGATTAAGACCAAGAAAAAGAAACATAAATTGTAGAACCATAGCATGGCAAATGCCTAAGAAAACTGACGAATTTAAATAGGATACATTCAAAAAGGACAAATAAGAGAAATATCCCAACAACTGCTAGGATCATCAGTTATAAGACAAAGAAAATAACGACATACTGGGCGTATCCAGAAGAAAAGCCAACAGAGAATAACCAAACAGGCACTTAAAAATGAAAAACATGTGTCGAGGAAACGAGGAGGACCCTCCCCCCCCCCCCCCCCCCCCCCAAATAAACCTGGGGAAATAAGACGCTGGACTGGTTTCCATCCATGATACTGAAACAATCTGTTGAAGATAGAACATAATGGAATTTTATAACGGTAATCTGGTAATTTTAGTTTCAGCTTCATAGCAAACGGGTCAAAGTTGCCTCTCTCCTGTGCCAACGAAAAATACACAAAATGTTTATCACAGTTCAATTGAAATCCCCAGCTCACGGTGTCACGCTATGCACTCACCTCAAAAGCTGGGTAATGAAACTATATGCTTCCAGTCTAAAAATGGAGCAAAAATGCAACGGCCACCGTCTGGCAAAAGCAAAACAATTTGCCACTGCTAAAAAAAGTAGCCGTGCCTAGCGTCCATTTTTACCTGAAGCATTATGTGAGGGTTAATAAACGGTCAGCCCAGCAGTACCCTCACTATTAGCTGGGGAAGAGACTTAAGACATTACATCAACCAGCAAGCGTCGCCCCTACAACGACCTGACTGCCTTCGTTAATGACTGTTCACCCAACAGCCATGCAGTTCTTTGGCAGAAAGGAGACAATTTGAACTTTGGTTTCGGACTGCCGACTCCCTACAAGAGTTATTCTGTTATTACAATCGACGTCACTGCACATTGGACATTCCCATGCGTGCACAGTCCTCCAATGCAGCAGCCACTCCAAACTACTTCTACTATTTGTTCCCATGAGAAGCTGGTTATACTGTCTCCTATCTCGGCCTTGAAGACGGCAAAGACGTGCTTCACCATGCTTTACTCCCGATTTTATACTGCCAGATCTATGTGACTTATACTGACACAAGATGAGGATGATGGTGATAGAACACCTGTATGTAAAAAAGAAAGTCAAAACGAAATAAACTTTTATTAAAGTGTCCTTAAGAATACATTTCTATATGTATATGTTTATAGTCGTGGTTTTCAGGTCCTGGCGAAATCGTACTTTGTTTTAAGAAATGACATTGGCTCCCAGGTTGCCCCAACTTTAAATGAGTCCCAGATAACGTTCTGAAAAGTAAAGGTTGTAGCACGGCCTTCTCTATTTAATTTAATCTAGAGAAGGCGGTGGGTTGTAGCTATTTGACAATGACTGGTGGGGCGGGAAGCGCAGTGGACCTAAGGATTTCAAGGGCGGCGTTAAGCGAAGAGAGTGGGATGGGAGGGGGAATCAGATGCTATATAGTAGAATGAAGAAAGCCAGGGGTATTGATTGGCTTGGTGGATGGGGATAGAAAGTATATATGTTTATAGTAACACATGTGTAAGACAGAAAATAGGGAATTTGGACTGACCTTATATAAGTTACATAGTAGAATAAAGAAACAGAAGGGCACTGATTAGCGTGGTGGAGGGGGATATAAATTATAAGTTATAAAGTAAAAATATATTTAAAAAGTTAAATAGAGTGATCTGTTGTGGTGTCCATTGTTAGCGCTGAAATAAGATTCGATAGTGGTTTGTGGTCAAGCCTCATCAATATCAGTTCTGTGATGACGGGCGTGGGTGATCATTCTCTCCAAGGTTTGTGGTGTAGCTGATGCGCTGTGGTCATGCTACTGTAAAGCTAGGCTGTGATAGGGGTAGTTTGTGATCATCGACAAGGATGATATAGGGGTCAGGGGTTATCACAGTCTCCTTGGCATGAAAAAGGGAAGCCCGGTGTTATGTAAGTGTTGGGTGCCGGTGGCTCAGTTAGGAAGCAAGTGGCCGTGTCGACTAGTTACTCGAGGTGTCCTCCATGTGACCTACATGGGGCAGTGATGCATATCCAGAGCGCGAGGAGCAGATCGTTTTTTCCTATATTTTCCATGAAGAGGTGCTTTAACAATCTATTTTTACAATCTATCTCGCTGCACTCGTAGTTATGTTTGGATGGCTTAATAATGGTGCACTCCGTATACAAGCGCAATTGCTTTCTGACATCTGGCTTCTATTTCTATTTCATTTATGTTTATCAATCAGAAATCACTCAGTGGGTGACGTAGTCAATAATACTCCCACCTTTTTTACTTCCCTTAGCATTTCAATGTATTCAGTCTAGGCTGGGTCAATATGACAGCAAATTTAAAATTCAGACAATAGATACAGGATTTGAACACATAACTGCCAGTCGACAGGCCATCATGACAAATGTCTAGATACAGGATTTGAACACATAACTGCCAGTCGACAGGCCATCATGACAAATGTCTGACTTCTGCGGTGTGAAAAACTATTTAAACAAGAAAAATGGCCACCGTTTTAACATGCCCTTAGCATGTTTACTGAACACATCATCATTATGTAGCATGTCCTTTGCAGAACGTCACTCTCATAGTCTGCCTGAAAGAAACTCGTCTCTCGCCAGCTCTCCAGCCTTATGTCCTTTCATATCCAAGAAGTCACTTATATCTTGTGCCCATCTTCCCGCTGGACAGTCCCTCCTTCATGATACATGCCTTCTGCTATAATTTTTGCCAGTCTAGGTTAAACATTTCAACTTCCGAGACAAGATGCTGTTTATTAGCCAATCTTCCTTGATGATCAGCTCTTTAAGAATGTCAGTACTTTAAAAAAAAAAATCTATGGTATACTGAGAATCTTTCTATGGCATTTCAGATCATAAGCCCCGATTTTATTTCTTAAGGACTGGTATATATAGTTCACGGATCACATCCGTATGTTACTACAGGGAAGATGTATGCTCTCAAAATTTTCTACTTTGATTTACTTGCTTAATCTTGACTATAAACTTGTAATTGACCACAATGATGAAAATATGGATCAAAGGTTTTTTAAAAACACAAAAAGGTCTACCAACTCACCTGGTATTTGGCCCACCCAGCGGCATTTGTAACGGAGGAATGTTCCAGTAGAAATTTGCTTTTAGCTTCATTAATGATACGGTAGCCTCTGTGGACATCATATTTGTTGCCTGCTTTCATATTGAAAATGATGTCATGCCCAGGATGATTGAAGTCATACGGGACACTGGCATCGTTTTCATCTTCCTTCAGAGCCTGATTGAACTTCAGCTGTGTTTTGTTAACTGTACCTTCATACCAAAAGCTCGATTCTGATTCAGTTGTAATATCTAGTGTCTGGTATCTATTTGAAGTCTTTTCTATATCCAGGTCAATTTTCCAGTGAAACAAATGTTGGTGGAGGTTTCCTCTGGCATTGTCATGGACACGGTTGCCATAGGGACGTTGCCCTGCGAGATCAAATGAAGCTTGAATGTAACCCGTCAATGCAATTTTTAATTCTATTGTACCATCTAGATGAAATATGTAATCCACTACATAGTCACAACTCCACAAGCTGATGATTGTTCTCACAACGAGATAACTCGATACAAGACCACCGTAGGAGTGGAATTCTCCATCACGTCCGTGAGAGTAATGTCTTCTCAGAGGCATACTTGAAGAATGTTCAAAGATACATATAGAATTCCTGTATCGCTGCGGCTTCCCTGAGTTAGCAAAGTGATATGAATCTATAAAGGAAGCCGTTGCCGGACAGTCAACGCCGGGAACCAGCTCATACGACGAGGCACCCAGCAACCACGACATCCCATAGAGCCCTAACCAGGAGGTCTCTGGGCTGTATCCTGTGTAAAAGGCAGTGATTTCCTGAAGGGAGATCTCATAAGCTATCTTTTCTCCTTGGAAGTGGACATCAACAATCTGCAGGCCTGTACACGTATGCATGTGAAAGTTAAAGCTCCAACCAAAGTATTTTACAAACTGATCATCTATTGAATACCGATGACCATCAGGTTCTAAGAGTCGAGGTCCACGAAGTGGAGTATCAAATGAATGATGACCTCTTCTGGTAAATGTTGAAAATTGAGCATCAGCACTGTCCATAATTGGCTGTATTTTTCTGAGCGTCCCTTCAGCATACCTCTCAACTAAATCCTCTATCTCATAAAAGAGCTGTCCATTATAAATAACTCTAGTTACGGACCAGTCTGAGGTATGCGGACTTAGGTGATCTATCTGGATCGCAAATCCTAGGGGATGCAGGTAAAATCCTTCGGTTTCTCTGTAAGCCCAGAACCAAGTCTTACGTTCCCCACTTTCGGTTCCTCTTGGTGCGAAGTCCTGAAACATTATGCAGTTTTTCCCAGGCGTGCAGTTGTGGTAAACCAACCCATAACTGTCAATAAACAGAGAAGACAGATTTTCTGTTACACGGGAGATAAATTTTCTGAGTTGGTTTCTTTCTACAGCATCTACTGGACGACTTGAGAATGGGATTGGAACTCGACGATAAGCAGGGCTTGTGACGACTCTATAGAACTTTGGTGTTGGCAATGGCCCCACCACATATTCCTCAACTCGTGGGGGTTCTGTATCACCCCTGTATACAGTAACCTTAGCGGCTCTTTGAGGTTTTCTATCTACACCCTCTTGGAATTTTAGCACAGCAGCTTTCAGTGGAACTTGAAGGGTAATCATGAAAATATAGCTGGAGTTAACAGTTGCTTCTGTGTATGGAACAAGACCTAATCTCTTCTGGGATAGTAGATAATCCCTAGCAGCGACCATTTCTTTTGGTGTTAGATCATTGAACAAACCAGGGTTGTTCAGGTTTCTTCCATTACTCGCCAGGCCACTGGAGCAATAGGGAGGTGTGGTTTTAATAACAGCGACAATGGCTAGCGCTACAGTTAACATCACCACCAGCACGCAAGTGACACCAGCCAGGATTCGCACAACCAACCATGTCTTCCTAGAGATCACAACGGTAGATGCACGCCGCACTTGCCGTTTTGGCATCACAGAAATTTTCTCTTCCATATTGCTCTGTAACAAAATATAAACATTTTTAATAGATTATTAACATACTTTCATACCAAAGTGTTCAACTTACACATCTTCAAGTAGGAGATAATTGTTAAAATGGACATGATTCACTTTTATATCTGAGGAAACACTTGTATTGTTCCTCACCCCCACTAAAGTGTTAGCAACACAGTCTTATCTGTTACTCCGACCATGATGCTATCTAATGATCTGACCCTCCCTGTGAACTCAAGTGTTGCATCCTGGATGGGAAACCAATAGGACAGTCCAGCAGACCCGTTCAAACAGGAAATTAGAATTAGGATACACGTGGAGGCTACAATAGGCGGTGTACAAATCAGTCCATTGAAGAAAAGCGATTAGTGAGCTGCACACTGACATTTAATCGAAGATATGACACACACACGATGTGACACCTGGCCACTTTGCCTTAATTTCGTCAATTTTAGGAGCGTTGAGCCGTTGAGAGGCCACATACAATTACTGATCGTAACGAATAATGTAAAACTTGATTTGTCCAACGGAATCATTCTGAAAATGAATGAATAAACGAATGAATGAATAATTGAATGAATGACGGTAACAAAGACTGTACTCAGTTCACTCTGGGAATTTCCTCTTATGTTCTATCCATTTCTTTAGGACGAAACGGAGAATTCACATTCATAACGGCAACAAAACTGTCAAATAGTTCATGACCCCCATTGCCTTTTCCATGTCCCTTGGAATGTGGCTGTATGAATGGTAATTTTGTCTTCCTGTGTATGCGCAGGAGGGAGAACTATTGAAACTGAGGGTGACTAGTTTGAAAACTCTATTCGCCGTCATATGTTATTTCTCATAAGCCCATGCGACTGTGACTTTTGGGCACTATAGCACTCTTTGTGCTGTTTCTTCATTTATCTCCATGAATTAAGATCACCAGAAACACATCATGATCCTTGCATGGACCACGGCCAGCTCCAGTATAAATCTGGAGCTGGCCGCGCATGGACACACCAGATATCATTTCATACATAAAAAGCGGCTATGTGATACACCCACGTAGACAACCCCCCTCCCCCTTTTTTTTTTCCTTCACATTTACTCGCCTATCTCTCCATCTATCCATGCCACACGTTGTACATTTTCACTGCTATTGATCCAGCTGTCAGAAAAGGGCAAAGGAGTTTCATTCAATAGCTCACCATCCCAACCGCCGTGGCTTCTCCCCACCCTCTTCATCTTGCCATCAGCGTGTATAGTCCACAGGGAATCTCTGTCCTGAGGGCGCAGATCGATACTTCAGCCGCGCTACGGTCTAGCGTATCTCAGCAGACATAATACAAGCCCAAACACACACTGCACAAACGCTGAGTCTACAAAACGACAAGTGCGCACATTCGCGCGCAAGGGATTAGAAATTCCCTGTCTAGAACTGGGGATGGTTTGTCGGCCTAGCGGCGTGTTTGACAGTCAAGAAGTTCATTCATATTGATAGTTTGTTTGCTTGTTGAGTTGCGTCTCAAACTGTTAAGAATTTCATAGTGATACTTCGCCTGATCGACGCGTAATAATAATATAATAATAATAATAAAATATATATTATAATACATTTCCAAAAAGATTATACGATAACAAACTTAACAAGATAGCTGGGGGTGTGGGAGGGGTGGGGGTGTGGGAGGGGTGGGGGGGGGTGAGGGTAAAGCCGGCAGGGTTTCCATTTTATACATGTGTGTTTGTCGGCTCTGTGGCTAAGTCGATGCGAACGCTTCGTAATGCCGGGATGCCGGGTTCGATCCCAGCTGCGGGCCATGTGCTTTGTGTTAGTTTCGACAGTGGTATCAAGAAAGCCGACCGCCCAGAAAGCAATGGCAAACTACTGGACGTAAATTTGCCTAGAAAAACCACACAATAACCAGGGGCTGTTGGGGTTGCTTTTGCAACGTCCTGTAAAGGATGCTCAACATGTGTGTTTGTCTAGTGTCCGTGTGTGTGTGTGCGGGGATTGCGCTTGTTGCGCTTACGCTCCCAGGTTCCTGTGCCATGCCACTCAGATAATGAAGAAGGGTGAGTGAGTCAGGTTCAACCCCACCAGGACATCCAACAATCGATAAACATCCGGTGACACAAAGTACCACCATGAAGTAGGCGGATTCTAACTTCGACAGTGCTATAAGCTTTACTCAAGTATTTGTGAAAATAATCTTAACAAATACTATGCTGTATTATATTGTATTTTCATTGTTGCTTGTTTCCAATTGTTCAGACTTTCCTATGTTTAAAAAAAGGACTCTTTTCCACGTCTTCAGTCGTATTAGGCATATAGGGCTAGACCTATATTTTATAGACCAATCGGCACTTGTTGGGTGATGTGGTCAGCATAACGCCGCCCACCTTTACCTCCCGGGACGGTACCTGGTACCCGCTCAAGTTCTGGTCGACCTGGGAGCCAAGGTCATTAAAAAAAAAATTCCGGCTCCGTTAGGACCCGAACCCAATACCTTCGCATCCTTGACTTTCCTATGACTATCTAGTAATCCTTTGTACTCAATATCAGGCTTTCACGCTATCAGTCGTGGTTCCAACTTCACCGCAAACAGTACAAGTAAAAAGTAAGGGGCCTTTTCCCACGTTTTCAGACGTACTGGGCACACATGGCAATAACTTTATGTTTTTTACAGCAATCGGCACTTGGCGTGTGATGTGGACAACATCACGCAACATCACAAGCAGGTCATCCAATAATTGTCTACCGTTCCTAGGCCAGTGAATAGCACACAAAATGCACATCACTGTTCCGTAAATCTAACGGGATGCAGTCATGGCAGAATCCAACAGCTCGCACAGAAATCAAATGCATAAGACAGCCGTTAGAAGTGCTAGCAATAATTGTTAGTAACTAACATTGCTATTCATAGTCGACTGCCACAGCAGGTGCACACGCATTATTGCATAAGACACACCACCAGTTCTGTAGCAGCCAGCCATTCGCTATTTTCTGAAAATGCAGTTTAACAACTACACTTCCGGAAGCACTGCCAAAAAGCATTTCCCATCACATCTGAAAGTGTATCACCTTTAATTCAACTCAGTAGCTGGTCGACGGAGCCAGATTTCGCCGTTACCAAGTCAGTTCTTCTATCCACTTTCTCGATGGGATTAAATCCCCATTATTCCACAAGATTACTAGTGAGGATAGGTCCCACCAAGTGAAGATGATTTAGGCCTGAGCAAGAACGGCTAATAGTCAATAGGAGTCTTGCATTTCATGTAAAAACTAACGGACCCTTGTCATATTTTCATCATCACTTGTGTCAAATAATGGTTTTTAATAAAATTAATGTCATGTCGACAATGATCGAAGTCGTAGGGGAAACTAACATCGTTTTCATCTTCCTTTAGAATCTGATCGAACATCAGCTGTGTTTTGTTAACTGAACCTTTGTATCAAAAGCTCGATTCTGATTCAATTGTAATATCCAGTGTTTTGTATCTATGCGGATGCTGGGTGACATTAGACAAGTGTCGCTTCAGACAACAATACACATCTTTAATTTATGCCGGCGGGTCTGCTTTGTTTATCTAATATTTGTGTCCGTATTTTCGTAACTAATGTTGGTGAAATGATCCATAATATAAATATACTATCTTGTCTTGTCTGTCTGGCAGAGCGTCTACCTCCCCACATTCCTGTTCTTTGAATTCATTCTCTAATAATTGATTGTACTCAATCAATCTGATTTGAACTCACTGTCAAGGTAACAAACTAGTAAACGACCGTGCCGCCATACTGCGAAGCTAATCGAGCGTGAGCGAAACTAATGAACTTTAGTCAGATTCATGTTATTACTTGTCCATAGTAATAAGTGTTACATCATAGAATCGATGTTCGCCTCAGACAACACGCCCCATCCTGAAACTGATGCCTCTGGCTCTGCCTTGTTCATCTGATGCTGATGCTGTGCTTTCAAGCATAAATCCGACAACGACTTTTAACATCAGTCCCACCATATTCTCACTCTTCCATTCAAGCGTTCAGATAATGGCATCAGCTGGGAATATCTTTCGCTTCATTCCTTTCTAAATCTTCACACAGGGCATAAGTATCCAGTTTCCATTATCAGTATCCAATGACCTCATAGGAGGAGATAACAAGCGCGGAGTAACGTCTTTGCTTTGTTAAGGATGACTTGTTTTCCCGTATCCACTTAATTAACTTTCGCCCAGATTGTAAAGGGTGAAGGGGCACTCATATGTCCAAAAGCACAGTAAAGATCAAAATCTGTTCTTGAATTTATAGAAAACGAAAATGATATCCACAGATAAAACTGGCTGTCACCCAAAAATAACAATAAATGATGAAGAAATTGAAAATGTCACAAACTTTGAATATCTAGGTTCTATAATAAACCACAAAGGAGACTGTTCAATAGAAATTAAAAGGAGGATGGCCATAGAAACGCAGAGATTGAAGAGACTTAAAAGTCTATGGTTAAGCACCAACAAGGTGATAAAAATTAGAATTTTGAGAGCATGCATCTTCCCTGTGGCTACAGACGGATGTGAGTCGTGGACTATCTCTCAGTTATTAAGAAAGAGAATAGGGGCTTTTGAGCTGAAATGCTATAGAAAAATTCTCAGAATATCTTGGACAAAGAAGATGAGAAATATTGACATCTTAAAAGATCTCAACATCAAGGAAGATTGGCTAATAAACAGCATCCTTTCTCGAAAGCTGAAATATTTTGGTCATATAAAACGCCACGACGGATTGGAAAAAATTATAGCAGAAGGCATGGTACCAGGAAGGAGGGGCAGGGGCCGACCAACACGAAGATGGGCACAGGATATAAGTGACTCCTTGAGTGTGAAAGTGCATGAGGCAGGATAACTGGCGAGAGACCGAGTTTCTTTCAGGCAGACTGTGATGAGAGCGACGTTCTGTAAATGACCTGCTACATTATATATATATATATATAATATATATATATATATATATATATATATAT